AATGAAAGGACAGCTATAATTGGAGACATGCACAACATATTCATTTCTCGTCACAAGTATTCTAACTCTAGATGTTAGTCCAAAGGGAGGGTGGTCATAGAGCTTCTGATGAGTGAGAACCAGACTGACACTGTTGGTCATCATCTGTGCTACACTTTACAACTAGAAACCCTTTTAGGTTAATAAAAAGACAGGAGTACAAGAGATCAGTGTCTATAGTAGCTTGGGGGCTTTCTTGACAAGTGTGTCTGGTGCCTGCTACACTCGAGATAGTCTCAAGGCTACAATAGAACTGGCGGCCATTTTATTATTAAAAGTAGCTGAGTACACGCCCTAGCATGGGAATGAGTCTGGAGAGTTTTAATTTTATTCTTGCCACCTATAGAGTGCGCGGAAATAGCCAAAGATAAACAAGAAACATCTACACGGTGATATCACTAGCACTATAGGGTAGTTCGACACTCTCTCTAAATATAATGGACTCTTGGTATAATGTACTACAATATGCATATCATTCTTTATTTCTCTCTCTCTCTCTCTCTCTCTCTCTTAGTTGATATCATCATTACTAAACTGTCTCTCTCCCTCCATTTGCTTCATTTGTTTGATTTTGAAAACATTCAAGGTTGAGTGTCACAATACTGGCCCATTGGTCAACACTAAATACAACAAAGAAGGTACAACATGAATTAATGTCTTTCTCTGTTAGATGTTAGTTTGAAGTGGAAAGGGAGCTGGGAAAGTATGTACATGTATTTTAATAATTATTAATATTTTTGCTTTGTCCCGAAATCCTAAGCTATACTTGTCGCACCCATATAAAGTTTATTAGTAACAAAAACATTCCAAATAATTATTAATTTGTATTGTTTATGTTAGCTTCTGAGTTTGAGCTATTAGCTGAAGATGTACCACAGACTAAAGCATAGGCGGCGGCAGGGTCGGGCATGGACGGGCAATGCCCGACCAAAAATTTTGACCGGAAATAAAAATTTAATTAATGACATCATTTTTTAGTCATGAATAATTACCATGGCTAGCAAGAGACAGTCTTTTCTGCTTTCCTTTGTCAATAAGCCTTCTAGGAGGACCAGGAGTAGCACTTTACAGGTTGGATAGAGCTTTACAGATAAGATAGGGGGTCTTTTAGGCGCATTTTATGCTATATCATATTGTATGCGTGCGTTGAGTATACGCCCAAAATAGGCGAAAAAAGTGGGTGTGGTCAAAATCGCGGCGCGCTTCGCGCGCCATTTTTTGCCCGACCGCTCTTCAAATCCTGCCGCCGCCTATGGACTAAAGTAAGTTTAGTCTTTCTAATCCTCTTCCTGTTCCTCCCCTTCTCTCTCTTTTATAGTATCCAGTAATCATTAAGGATACTCCTCATTATAAAACCTGGTACAAGAAGGATGATATTTTTGATCTTCCTAAAGGTTCGTTTGTCCATCATTCACAGCTAGTATATTTATTTATTTATTATTTTTTGTACATTTACATGTGTAGCGTCAATTTGTGTCTCATTTGTTATGTATCATAGGCCTATCATTATGTATGTATGGTTTAACTACAAACTGCCAGTAAGTACATGTACATGTATTTTATTGAATTAATTGTAATAGGATTGAATTCAAATGTTGATCAAGTTTATGTCAAGTTTTGAAGCTCCTGAAGGACATTGTAATACAGCAAAAGTATATTTATTTATTTGCTTGTTTATTTATTTATTGGAATAGTTCAATCAATCCTATTCTAATTGTTACTCAAATCAATTAAATACGGTAAGTGTATTTACATGTACATGTAAATTATAGTTTGCTAATAATTTGTAACCTATAAATTATTTTTTTAGGTTTCTAAGATAATTTTTTTACTTGAAAAGGATCACATTATTATTACTGATTGGATTGAAATATTATCCAAACTAAACCTTACCCATTATAATGTAAGTGGTACATCATGTGACCTCATCATGTGACCACATGTCATGTGACTATCATTGGTAAGTTTTTGTTAGGAACCTTCCTGAAGGGTTTTTCCTTAAAGCGTTAGCTCATGCTCATGCAGGGTAACATCACTGCTACTGTGAGTATACTGAGTTTTAGTGAGTTTTACTAGTTTTGGTTATTATAGGAGTTGGTGCAACTGATAAAGTGCCTGTGCAGGTGGGTGTATTTTAGAGTGGGTGTGGTTTTTAATTATAAATTTCATTTTATGTCATTATGCTATGTAGAAAGTTTGAGCTGTGTCTGACAACTGATTTTCGAGTTATGAGCATTTGAAAAACAGCCATTTTTCAAAAAATACCCAAGGTATAGCCCATAGTTTTACAAAAAATGGATCCAAAATCACCTCCAATTTTTATTACGTTTTCTTATACATATTGATGTCCTTGTGCTATGCAGAAAGTTTGAACTGTTTTCGATAAATAATTTTTGAGTTATGAGCATATGCTTCTCCAAAAAATGGCTTCAAAATCACCCCCAATTTTTATTACATGTTCTGATACATATTGATATCCTCATGCTGTGTAGAAAATTTGAGGTGGTTCCAACAAATAGTTTTGGATTCATGAGCATTTTTAGAAGTCAATTTTTGAAAAATACCCAAGGCTGTAGTCCATGGTTTTTCTGAAAAATGGCTCTAAAATAACCTCGAATTTTTATTACATTTTCTGATACATATTGATGTCCTTATGATGTGTAGAAAATTTGAGCTGATAATTTTGAGTTATAAAAATTTGAGAATTTAAAGAACTGAGCCAAATTTGAAAAAAGCAAAGGCTATGTGTATCCATGTACTGTACATGTACATGCCTACGTGCATTTTCTTTTACTTATTACATGATACATTGTTTATTGTTATCATTAGGTTATGGTATACTGTTACTGTTCTTATGGGGTACCCAATGTATGCTCCTTTTCATCAAAGAGGGTAAGTCATGTTACTTCTCATAATGTCATTCCATTCCTTCTCTCTTCTTCCTCCTTCTACTTTCTATAGAAGAATTACTCTAACAACTAGATCAGTAGCGTTGCTGAGGAAATGACTGTTGCTATGACAACTGTACATATACATGTACATCAATGAAGAGATATTTAAGTATATTTTACGTTTTTCTTTATTTTATTTTGTAACTTTTAACAGCAATTGCTTTGATAAAATCAACTACAAACAAAACAACAACAACAACAACAATAAACATTATCTATATATTATTATATTTTTCTAATAGTTTATCAGCTAGTTTAATAGTTCTTCTGGTACCTTCCTCTCTGAGTATATCTAAGAATATACCAAATACTTCTGCTTCCATACTAATAGAGCTTGAAATGATGTGGAGCAATTCATCCATTCTTTCACCAGCAGTTTGTTTAGTGTAGCCATCAGTTATTCCTCTCTTCTCTCTTGCATTGATAACATTGTGTTCCAACAACTTGTCAACCAAGAAGTGAATATCAATTCCGCAATTCTTTATTAATGAAGTACATTCTGTTGTTACTCTACAAGCAATATCAGATCTAAATGTACCTATTAATGATATAAATTCATTGATTAGTGTGTTATTATGTTAATATCAACCATACCTTCTTCAGTCTCTCTCCTGGTTTGACTGATACTAGCAGTAGAGGAGCTTGAGCTAGTAATGTCTACTACAGAAATAAATAAATAAATAATAGTTACAGATCATAAACTAACTCATTGATGAAAGAGGAGGTGTTCGGTTAATGTAAATTATTATTGAAGGATCTATTCCAGTTAATTCAATGGGACAGTGAAGTGGATCCTTAGCAATACCAGGTTTAGCATACACTGATATATGGATACTGGAACACATAGGATTGTCTATAAACTTGTCCACTACATATTGATGTATCTATAATAATAGGTAACAGTCATATTGTGTATTACACACATGTACACTGTACATACTTGCATTGGGGATTGGTCAGGATATACAGCCCATCCTGATTCAAGTGATCGAGTATCTTGTAGATACAACTGAAGGATACCATCATGTTGATTGTACTTGAATGGAACAATTGGACCATCTTTTCAGCTTCAGGATGTTCATTAACTAAATACTAAAAATCCAATCGATGTCATTTTCCTAATAATAGATTACATACTTGCTGAAGGACTTCTAAATCTCTAACAACAGAAAATGTAGTCATCCATTGATTAACTTCTTTCTTTTCATGATACATCATTCCAGTGTACAGTAGAGTGACTCCTGTATAAGAATTATAAATTAAAACATAATAACTGTGACACATACCTTTGTCTTCATTTGGTTTTTGTTTCAGTTCATCTTCAGTTGATTCATTGCTAACATTACATGCACCTAATTTAACAAAACCTCATTATGAATGTACTTAATAAATTATAACAATGCATACATACCAGAAGTAGACTCAACTTCTTGTACTTTTTGATTACAGTCATCAGTTACTGATTCTATTATGAAAATGAAACTTTATACAACACAATTACAGTCACACATACCTTGAGATAGTCCAGTATTTATTGATGAGGTAGTTCTCTCACTAGTCTCTCCTGCTCCATTACCACTATCATTATGTGTGTCATCAGTTGATCCTATTATTGTACATTATTCATAATAAAACACTATTTCCATCATACATGTACCTTCAGGTGGTGTCTCATAACCTTCCTCACTCTCACTGTCACTAGGTGTGTCTCCATTACTCAACTCAGCTACAATACCCATACAACTGAACTGTTCACGCTTTATTGATCCGTATCTTTCCCCAACTCTAAAAGATCCTCCTTCAACTATACTGAACTGGTAAGGAGACTTCAGTGGAGCTCTCACAAACTTGAGGCAACCAGTCTGACTAGTGTTCCTTAGATCCACACAATGTTGTAGCTCTATTACCAGTGGTTTTAATAGTCCCTTAGATACTGATATTGCATATACTGCACTCACTAGCACAGTACCTTTGGGTACCTTGAAATTACCACCAGCTAGTGCAGTAACAGCTACTTCAGTATCCTTGGACACTGCTCCTTGAGGACACTCTAATCTGAATCCATATTTCTTCCACTGGAGTGAGTGAGACCTGTCTCCTTGTAGGATAAAAAGCTTCTGTCCAGCTATAATGACACTAGAGTCTAGTGAATCTGAAACAATACAAACACATCTTATCTAATACCAGTATAGTACACACACAATCATTCACATGTACACATGTACATGAATAATTTACCCATTGAAGGGATCAGGCAATTAAATTGTAGTCCAATGGAACTAGTCTCTTTGATAGGTTGCTTGAGGACCCTCTCTTGTCTTTCCTTCACTAGTTTGGCTATGTACAACTCCTTTTCTTTAAGGTCTATAAATTAATAGAATATTAATAATTGTTTTTGATTGATGATGATACACTAACCAGTAATGATCTGTTTTTCATTCTGTGATTGAGCCGCTATTTGTGATGTCAGTTTAGCTATAACTTTGTCTTTCTTAGAAACGTCAGTTTTCAGATTTTCAACATCATCTACAAAATAAACATATTTTCTCATCTAATACATGCTGTGTGTATAGTTAACTAACCAATAATGATCTGTTTCTCCTTGAGATATTGTTCCTCCATATCAGCTACTTTGAGTTTCAGTTTCTCATAATCTTCTACATTAATAGAATACTCTCTCATCTAATATTATGTACTGATGATACACTAACCAGTAATAATCTGTTTCTTCTCCTCTACTTGTGTCTTCTCTTCCAATATTTCAGCAACTTTAGCTTTAAGTTTCTCATTATATTCTATTATCAATAAAAATACAAAAATACAAAATAAAATGATATTAGTTGCTTAAACTAATTTTCACTGCATGTACAGTAGCCCATAAATACATGTACTATGATTATTGCTAATGATCCATATATGGTAAGCAGAGCTCACTCTACATCAATCTCATTATTTCTAATGCATGGACAATTTGACCTATATTGAGTACAGGATACTATTTCCATACTCAACATTCTCTAATCCACTAGTATTATAATGTAAACAATGTACACATAAACAACAGTACAACACAATAGTACCTAATTCAATAGTCGATTTATCCTTTTCTGCTTGCTCAAGGAGAGTGGTAGCATTGTCAAGTTGCTGACTAAGTGTTGCCTTTTCTTGAAGAAGCTGTTGCTGCTCTTTGTCTCGATCTTGCTGTATCTGCTCCTTCTCTTTTATTTCTCTTTGAAACTGTTCCTCATAAAATTCTCTCTCTCTTTGTTGTAGGTGACCTATGAGCAATTGAACCTCTTTGCTTAATCCTAAATTCTCCCAATCACTCAGTATCCTTCTTCTTAGTTGATCTTGATACTGGTCCAGAGGTATTACACTAGTAGACCAATCATTATCACTAGTATATCCTTTACAGTAGCAAAATAGTAGAGAATAAGAAATACACAAATTAATTACAGTTAGTTACTATGGTAACCTTATTATTGATGGATTCATGTTTAATCATTGTATGTGTGACCTCTGTCAGTTTACAAAGTTAACCAAATGAACATATTATTGTATAAAAATACACTGATAATAATATTTCATTCACTCTAGCTCCTATTAATGTCAGTGTTTCTGTATCTGTAATCGTTATATTTCACTATTGTACATAGCAGGAATGAATTGGTAATAATTAGTATCATAGGTATACGTCAAATGCTCTCATTAAATATTCATCATAAGAATTACTTACTTTATTGTAATATTATCATTACTAATTATCATTACATATTCAATACACATTGTCTCTACTACTGTCTACATGTACTTACTGAGTTCAATAACTGCTGTATCAGTACTGCTTCCTGCTCCTCCTCCAAACTCAATTATCCAGTTAGTAGTTGGGGTCACACTCCACACTGAGAGAGAATGCCAGTATCTTATAGTGACATTGTCTGGTAGATTAATCTATAAAATTAAAATGATAACAATTAATTTGTGTATGACATATTAACTGATTCGATGCCTGGTTAATAAACATAATAACTAACTGATAGTTTTATAGTCTGCACAGTGTGTTTTATGTCACACAAAGATGACATAATAAAATTAATAGTACACAATATATTAATAGACAAGTATACACAACTGAGTGTGTTATTATATCATGTGAGTCCTCAATTAAGAACTTACTAAGTGTCTGCATGTACACACATACACGTACACATACTAATGACACACTAACACACATACATGTACATCTATACATGCATACACATATAAAGGTACATGTAAAGCATGCATAATTGCTCACACACATACACACACATGTACATGTTACATGTATACATGATGTGCGTAATAGTACACACATACACATATTAAAACATATGCACACATACACACAAATACATGTATGTACATACACACAAATACATGTATGTACATACACAATGTACACAATGTATATAAAATACAATTTATTTTAATTCCAGCATTGACACTATATCTGTAAAGAAAGACACTGACACTGTAAAGAAACAAACACAAAACACAAAAAGACACAAACACAAATTCACACAAAAACAGACACACACACATACATACTGAATACTAGCATTATTCATCAGTAGTTTTAACTGAGTAGCATAATATGTACATGTACATTACAAACCTCATGAGTTACAAATTTAGTTAATCACTTTATGTTTCATTATCAAGCATCATAATATAATACTTACCAGTTCTTTCCATTTTCTTTTGTTAATGTCCAGTAACCAGCCATCATAGGCAGGAAATCCACCCACCACTAGTAAGTGTGGTCCTGAACTAGTGGTAATCAGTACACTGGAATGACCCCATCTTCCCTTAGGCCATTGTACTGATCCTTCAGGATTAGGTACTTCTAATATATTCTGAGAGAATTATAAAATCAATGTAATAAATGATTTATCAATAATTAAGTAATAATACTACAGACTGGGTTTAGATTGTGCTTCAAAAAGATTGTGATAGTGCTACATTGCATATTCAATGCAGTCAAAATCAAAACCATCCTACAGTATCAACTCACCACTGATGTCTTAGTAAAACTTATCATATACAGTTTATTATAACAGATTTCATTATCAGTAGAGCCTCCGAACATTACCGCAGTGTTATTAGTAACTGGTGTTAGAGTAAAGTGACTAATAGGAGGTGGTCTGTCTCCAGTAACAACAGGAGATATCCATTGATCTAATAATAATGTACAAACATTCATGTACACTTACTTACCACATACACACACATACATTATACACATTCATCATACATATGTATGTGTATTATGTGAGTACATTATTATTTATACATACACATCATGCATAGACACACATCACTATCACATGATACACACACACACACACACACTTATTACATGTATACAATATTGAATAATTAAATGCAATCAATTAATTGCATCAAGCACAAGCACCACATGGCCCCTAATAATGGCTACCCAAGCCCACATTGGTCTCCTGTACTAGCTACCCAGGCCCATACTACACTCCCAGAGGAACTAGATGTACATGTAGGTGAGTTGCCATCTACAAACAAAGGCTATATCCACAAAACCACAGAGCCTACACCAGTTTTACACATGCATGTACATGTACTACAAAAACTCGGTATCAGTCTATTAAAGCAACTCTAGTTTAAGACTGTAAAGATTACTTAAAACTTGCCTGACCTGACTGAAGTGGATTTGGTAGAGCAGGGAGAATTGGGCGCCCAAAAAATGTTTTAACCTGCCACATCTGGTTCTTAAGGCCAGACTGCCGGTCCCTTCGGAGGGTCAAGTGAGAAAAACCACACCTCTTACTATAATGACTAACACGCATGATCAAGCAACAATAATGGTAACAAAAACTAACTAATAGCAAATTTAACCAAACCACATAAACAAAACTGGAGCGAAAGACCATCTGATGGCGACCTTATAACAAAGGTCAATGGGAGGGAATCACGGGCATTGGCCAATCATTCCAATCAAGGTACACGCCAGCGCTAGGCTACGGCTATGGTTAGCTGGGTTCAGATATTTGTATATCTCCCAAAAAAACACATAACATGCACATTATAGATAAACGTCACATACACACGTCATACATTCATAAATTCTCACATACATTATATGCACTATCATACACAGACACATCATAATGTATGTATTAGTACACACACACACACACGTCACATATACATGTAGACACACGTCACCATCACACAAACACATGTCACACTAACAAACACACTTAATTATTAATAATCTGTTCTATGTATTCAGTTTGAAATACTGATCAACTATTGTGTATTAATGATGAGAATTACTGACCTGATGAAACCCTGTAATAATGTATCTCATTACATCCACCATCAGCTAAATACTGAGCATCAGGTTGCTTTGGAGTATTGATGGATGATGATATCTCTCCTCCTATTATTACAAGATAGTCTTCACCATCAAAATGAGCTGATACTATTCCAGAGCAGCCCTTCTTCATTAGACCATGATCAGAACTAGAAGGAGATAGTTCTCTCCACTTGAATGAATCCACATTGAAGGAATGCAAGTTGTTTTGATAACCACCACCACCACCACCACGTCCACCGAAATAATATATGTCTTTTCGTATAGTGACTGATGAATAGCCCCTGGCACCTGGTGGTGGGGTACCAGTAGTAGGTTTCTGGTCCCAAGCACCAGTTGGTAAGTGATACACCTCCATCACATCATATACTCTACTCCAGACCCGTCCCAGTCTCCTACCTTTACTGTGGAGTGTCCCCATCTCTTCACTGGTTGATAGTCTATATAGAGAACAAGAGGTACCAGTAACAGAGTAACAGTAATATAGTGATGAGTTAGAATAAGGACAGGATACAGAGGAGTAAAGTAAGTGAGAGAGTAAGAGAAACAAAGAATGAATGAAAAAGATACAAAGAGAAGAGTACTATTGTGGCCCTCACTTTTAGATGCCATTCTTGCAAATTTACCTGCCCCACCCAAACTATATGCAACATAAGACCACACCGATTTACAATGTACATGTAAGTACTATCACTGCCTGTATTTTATGAAGTCTTTATTATAATCTAGCATTTATACCATAGCCATTGTAAATTGTGAAGTAATGTATAAATTCATTTATTGTAGTATGTTGATGAGTCTGGCACTCGTGTTAGAGGTGACTGTCACTTACTACTAGTGGGAGATCCAGGTATAATATACTGTGAATTGTATATGTAGATGTCGTTTGATCATTTTTGATGTATAATGTACATCATGATGTCTTTCATGCTACATGTATTTTTGTATAGTAGAAAGTTTAAACTGATTCCGACTTAAATTTTTTGAGTTATGAGCATTTAAAAAAAATTGGCCAAATTTTGAAAAAAAACCAAGGCTATAGCCCATGGTTTTTTTGCAAAAAATGGCTCCGAAATCATCCCCAGTTTTTATTACATTTTCTGATACATATTGATGTCCTTATGCTGCGTAGAAAAATTGAAATGATTCCAGCTTACATTTTTTGAATTATGTGCATTTTTAAAAATTGGCCAAATTTTGAAAAATACCCAAGGCTATATTCCATGGTTTTTTGCAAAAAATGGCTCCGAAATCATCCCCAGTTTTTATTACATTTTCTGATGCATATTGATGTCCTTATGCTGCTTAGAAAGTTTGAACTGATTCCAACTTAAATTTTTTTAATTATGAGCATTTTAAAAAATTGGCCAAATTTTGAAAAATACCCAAGGCTATAAGCCCATGGTTTTTTGCAAAAAATGGCTCTGAAATCATCCCCAGTGTTTATTACATTTTCTGATACATATTGATGTCCTTATGCTGCGTAGAAAGTTTGAAATGATTCCGGCTTAAATTTTTTGAGTTACGTGTATGAGCATTTTAAAAATTGGCCAAATTTTGAAAAATACCCAAGTCCATATTTTTTGCAAAA